ATACAGTCGTTCTCGTCGCAGAACCTCCAGCAGCTCCCTGAGGTGCTCCTCGTGCTGCTCTCGGGTATTGGAATACACCAAGATATCATCAATGAACACAATGACCGAGCGATCGAGCATCGGTCTGCAGACCCGATTCATCAAATCCATGAACACTGTCGACGCGTTGGTGAGCCCAAACGGCATCACCACGAACTCGTAATGACCATAACGAGTCCGAAACACGGTCTTCTCCACGTCTTCCTCCCTCACCCTGACCTGGTGATACCCGGATCTCAAGTCGATCTCGAAAAACCAAGATGCACCCTGCAGCTGATCAAAAAGATCATCTATCCTTGGGAGTGGATACCGGTTCTTCACCGTTAGCTTGTTTAACTCCCTGTAGTCGATGCACATCCTGTGCGAACCGTCCTTCTTCCTGACGAAGAGGATCGGTGCTCCCCATGGGGAACTACTCGGACGAATAAACTGCTTACCCAGCAGCTCCTGCAACTGAGATGACAACTCCTACATCTCTGGCGGTGCCAGTCGGTACGACGCCTTAGCGATAGGGGCCGCACCCGGCACCAGATCAATCCTGAACTCCACCTGCCTCTCCGGAGGCACTCCAGGTAACTCCTCTGGAAACATGTCAGCAAACTCTCTAACCACCGGGACCTCTGAAACTGAAGTCTGATCCCTGACCCGCTTGTCCACCACACACGCTAAATAACCTGCACATCCGTGCTGAATATACTGCCGAGCCCTGGCGGCCGAACAAAACCCTGATCCTACTCTGGTGCCCTCACCATATACCACCAGTTCTCCCCCACTTGGGGTTCGAACTACTACTCGCTGTCCCTCACAGTCGGTCATGGCGCCAAACTGGCTGAGCCAATCCATCCCTACGATCACACATACTTCCCCCATGGGAATAGGAATCAAATCTATCGGGAATGATACCCCGAAAATCTCCAGCTCGCATCCCCGGTAAACCGAAGAAGCAGAAATCCCGTGCTCGTTGGCGATCGAAACTCGCAACGGACACTCAAGCTCATCTACCGACACACTGAACTCTCTACTGAAAGCCTGAGATACAAACGACCGACTCGCCCCCGAGTCGAATAAAACCAAAGCAGGCAAGGAGTTTACTAAAAACGTACCTAAACACAGGTACCACCGATAAGCATAACACAGATACAATAACTGAAACAGAAAATTGAAACATACCAGCAACCACATCCGGTGCTGCCTTGGCCTCCTCGGCCGTGAGCTGGAAGGCGCGCCCCTGAGCCTCCGGAGGCTCCACCTTGACTGGCCTCTCATCTCTCATCCTCAAAGTAACCGGTACGGATCCCTGCGCCGGTTTGGCGGCGAGCTGCGGGCAGTAGGTCTTCACGTGACCAACCTGATGACAATGATAACAAATCCTCATATCTGCTGGAGGGGCAGACTGACGACAGTCCCTGACATAGTGCCCCTCCTTGCCACATTTGTGGCAACCACCTCCTGCTTGACAAATCCCAGAATGACCCCTGCCACACTTTCCACAAGTGCGGCTCTGCTGACCCCCGGTCCGAGTATCAGCGGTCTTGGACCGCTTAGGTGCCGGCTGAGACTGTGTCAGAACCTGACGCTGCTCCTTTAACTGCAGCTCTATCTCCAACTCGCGCCGCCTCGCGGCTTCCTGAATATCCAAAAGAGTCTCACAACGTTGCGTAGCAACAAACTGTCGAATATCAGTCTTGAGCATACTCAGATAACGAGTCATCTGAGACTGCTCTAAAGCAAACTCCGGGCAGAACATAGCCCTCTCCGTGAACATACGAGCGATCTCCATCACTGACTCCCAATCCTGTCTCAATGTCAAAAACTCCTAAGCAAGCCGCTCCCGCTCAACGCGTGGAACGTAGCGGGTACGGAACATATCCCGTAACTGCTCCCAAGTAACAGCAGCTCGCTGATCATCAGTGTACGACCCTGTCGTCAATCTCCACCAGTCCTTTGCCCCAAGCCTCAGCAGGTTCAGGGCACACCTGACCTTCTGGTCAACAGGACATGAACACGTGAAGAAACATCCCTCCACGTCAGATAACCACCTCATAGCCCTGATCGCATCCTGTGTACCATCAAACGTCGGGGGCTTCGTGTTATCGAAGTCCCGGTAGTGGAAAGCCCTGCCGGCTCCTCCTCCAACCCCTGTCGCGGTTACAGCCGATGTGGCTGCAGCGGCAGCCGTCTCTGCTAGAGCTGCATATCGCTCATCAAAGTACTCAACCATCGCGGTCTTAATCGACCCAAACATCTCTGGCAGCTGCGCTCGGAACGCTGCAGTAATCTCATCGTGCAGAATCTCCTGGATCCTGGCATCCAACTCCTCTGTCCGTATCTGCACCACGGGCTCAGGTGCTACCGGCACCTCCGACCCTCCGTCTCCCGACCCTGCCCCTGATCCGGATCTCGATCCTGATCCGGAACCAGCAGCAAAACGTCTCGTCACCACCATACTAAAAAATGTACTCAAGTCATCAGATAAATAACATAATATCGGGAGACCAAAACCCACAAACCCTAGGGGTTGTGACTTCCTTGCTACGCGTATGGGTCCTGTACTTTCAGTAGTACGGGCCCATACTACCTTCCACACCTACCCATATTTGTCTTAAGTATCACCACAACACCCTAACACTATCATCAACATAATATGCGCTCAACCCTTACTCCTAGGGAAACATCGCCTATCCCACAACTGATCTCACAGCTCCTCACAACCCACACATCCATGAAACTTTCATCAACCCCTGCAGTGCTAGTGTAGGCTAGTCGCACATAACACTGGACCCAATAGACTTTCGAATATCCAATCCTATCCGAAAACTGAATCAAACATTCTCAGGCTATAAGATCTTGATTACGCGCAACCGTGATGCCTACACTAACGACTACAGTAATGATGTCAATTCCATATACAAGAAACCCTAGGCTAGTAGGCATCATATAATCATGCAAGTCTATCATGCGATTCCTGAAGATCCTTAGCCTAGCACTAGCATACTGTTCTAACATATCATAATATCAATAACTGTATGGTATTTTGGGGTTTACTTACAGGCTCCGACTGATCGTACCCTCTGCATCCTCCATCCTTTATTTTGAAAACCATTTTAGAATTTATTCCGAAAATTTCCTTGATTTGAGACTGGGTTCACACATGTGTTTCCCCCAATTCACTCAAACCAATGCTCTGATACCAACTTGTAACATCCAAAAATTTTACGCCAAATTTAAACTTTTTCAATCATAAATAAAACCAAATAGTATTTGTTTACAAAATGTTTTCAATCATTATTCATCAGAGTGTCCCAATAACCAGATCATAAGGATGAGGAGCGGTACGGTCACGCCTTCGCCTTGCCATGATCTCCTGAAGTACCTGAAATGATAAACTGAAAACTGTAAGCCCGAGGGCTTAGTGAGCTACCCCCAAAATACCAATACCACACTAATAATACCATACCAATCACCAATAAACATCAACATGCATACTGGGCCTTCGGCCTGACTGGACCGCCCTGCAGGGCCTACAGTCTATCTGAATCTGTCTCGAGCCTTCGGCATAACTGGACCGCCACGTGGGCCTACAGTCTCCCCGGACCGCTCATAGGGTGTGTTGGCCTTCAGCACAAAGCATGACCGCCTCAACCCAAGCAACAAGCAAATAACCATGTGCGCATAACTAACATATACTGACATATACAAACATCAAACATATCTATCTCACTGATCACCAAACATAGCAATCTCTCATAACTAGAGCACTGACCTAGCAGGTTACTAACATATCAATCCCTACGGATCAACAGACCCGGGGTTATCCAACTCGATGGTTGTGGACCCGAGGGTATTCCAGTCCGATAACTGAGTGGGCCTGCCACATATTGGAATTCCGGCAAGATGAGTGATTGAGCCTGTCACATGTTGACATTCCAGTCCGATGAATGATTAGGCTGGGGGTAATCCAACCCGATGGATGTGGACCCGAGGGTATTCCAGTTCGATAACTAAGTGGACCTAACATGCATGATTGTATATATGTTATATGGTGGTATTTTGGGGGAACTCATTAAGCTTCGTGCTTACAGTTGTTTGTTATGGTATCAGGTACCTTAGATGATAAAGGCAAGACAAAGACGTGACCGTGCATATCATCCTGGATTTTATGAGATTATGATTTTGGAAAACTCTAATTTATGAATTATACTTTTGAAACAATGTTTTTGTAAACAATTATTGTCTTGAGGTTGTTTTGGAAAAAAAAAATTTTACTCAGATTTTGGAATGTTACAAATTGATAACATAGTGTTTTTTGTGTCACTTTTTTCGCTTCTGACACGTCATCATGACACATTCGTAGTGCAACCGGTTGACCTGAAGCCAACCGGTTAACCAGTCATAATTACAACAAACTAAAAACATACTGACTTATTTGTAACAAAAAAAATTCTGTACAAAATTAAAAAAAATAAAAAGTTATTGACTTTTGTACAATTTACCCAAGTATATTGAACAAAGTACAATATTATCAATTTATATTTAGTTTTGTACATGAAGGTATTTGGATATGTATATATGTTTTCATTGAATTATTTGATTATTACAGAATTTATATAATAACTTTATGTTCAAACATCTTATATTTGATTATAAAATTATAACATCATTTTAAAAACATACTATTTGTAAAGAAAAAAAACTTTTCCTTTGTTAATTTACAGAGAAGGAGACAAAATAAAATTGTGTACCTTACCACACTTTACTCTTCAACCAACCATACAAAACCCATCCAAGACTTTGCCTTATGCACATCTCAGTGTTCTTTCTTAAGCTATGGCGCACCCAATCGAAGCCAAAGATTACTGGAATGAATCAGGTTTCTAGATTCCCTAGCAGTTGTTTCGATTTTTGGATACCATTGGTCAAAAACCCTACGATTCAATTGACCTGAAACGTTTAATTTCATCATGGAAAGAGAATTGAAACAGAAACGGCTTGATGTTGATTCGCTGGCAACTTCTAATTCCGGTTATCCTCGAGATCGGAGACGACATCCTTCTCCGCCGGCTAGATCACCTGAAGATTCCCCGTTGTCAACTATGTCTTCTCTGTCATCTCTCAGCCATGGATTCTCTCCCGAAAGAGTTGAGGTACAACCTGAAGCAGAATCAGAAGCAGCAGAAGAAGGAGAGACATCACACGGCTCACCAACGTTAGATCCGTTGCCGGATTTGTCCGGAGCGAGGGTGACGTCGCCGGCGCCTGTGTCGACGGTGAACAGGTATGTTCGAGAAGAGACTGTTCCGATTAAGAAAGCGGAACGCGGCGCTCAAGACGGATACGTTGGAAAGCCACCGGAGGAACCACGAACAAGCGGTGGAAACCAAGGGAGGCGGCCGAGGCCATCTATGGGGAGCGTTAGTAGGATGGAAAAAGAAGGATCGATGAAGAAGATAGCGTTAGGGTTTAGGATTTTCGAATTGCTCTTTTGTTTGATATCGTTGTCGGTGATGGCCACCGACAAGCGTCAGGGATGGGCTCTCGATTCATTCTATCGTTACAAGGAGTTCCGGTGATTCTCTCTTCTCTCCGGCCACCCTCTAAATATATCCAATCACATTTCAATTGTTTAATCATGGTGGATTTTCAGGTACTCCATAGCAGTGAACATTGTCGGATTTGCATACGCTGTGTTACAAGGATTTGATCTGGCCTATCAGTTGGCCACCGGAAATCATTACAAAAGACGCCATTATCTCCGGTATTACTTTGATTTCGCCATGGACCAGGCAAGTTTTTGGATCTTATCTTGGTTTTTTCCTGTGAATTTAGACACCTATCCAATTCAAACTTTTCTTTGAGCATCAATAAGGGGTTTTTGAATGTGATCATGTAATATTTTTCAATTCTAACTGAAATTTGGTGAAATTCAGATGTTGACATACCTTCTGATATCATCGGGATCATCAGCAGCCACAAGAGTAGACGACTGGAAATCGAATTGGGGTGCAGACAAGTTCCCACAGCTGGCTACCACTTCTGTTAGTCTTGGTTTTGTGGCTTTTGTTGCCTTTGCCTTCAGCTCTTTAATCTCTGGTTATCTTCTTCATGCTTCCACATCTTCATGATTTTCTATTATTACTACTTAAATTTTCTGATATGTTGATAATAGAATGTAAAAACTGATTATAAGGAAGGGTTATGTTCTTGTGTAATGTATATAGATTTGTATGATATGCTTATGCTAAACAGGCTTATGAAGAATGTTAAAACTCTCATGAACTTGGATATTAGACTTGTGGGATGTTAATTCAACTTTTATGGAAGTGATATGTTCTTGTTTCATGAATATAGGATCATACTAGACTGGACTGAACTTTATTGAATTGGATTGGACCAGGCAAACTTTCTAGGTTATTGTAAATAACGACGATAAGAAGGGCATTCATGTCTTTTACATATAGTAGAAATTAAATAACGACGATAAGAAAGGCATTCAGGTCTTTTACATATAGTAGAGATTAAATAACGACGATAAGAATGGTATTAATGTCTTTTACGTATAATAGAGATTAAATAACGATGATAAGAAGGGCATTCATGTCTTTTAAGTATAGTAGAGATTAAATAACAACGGTAAGAAGGGTATTCATGTCTTTTATATATAGAGATCGATAATGAGTTCCTGTCATGTATTATGTCATGTATTATTTCACTTATAAATTATAAATTAATATCAACTAGGGTTTGGACCATCCGCGCGTTGCTGCGGAAGCTACGGTATGTTAAAAAACGCAGTTTGACACCATATATACAACGAAGACGATTAAATCATATAAAGTGGAGCACAAAAATATCAAAATAAAATATGGATACAAATAATTGACTTGAAAGTGTATCTTTAAGAAATTATTAAAAAAAAGATTATTAAAAATTTATATAAGGGGCCAAAATGTAACTTTAAAATATAGTAAGGGACCAAATTATAATGTATAAAATACTAATAATTTAACTTTAAAATTATAAGGGTTGAAACTGTTAAATAAAAATTAATTAATGAGAAAGAATATAAATATATATAAATTTTAAAATTATAAGGATAAAAATTGTAACATCAAAATTAGTTTAGGAGTACAAAATATAAAAACAAATCAAAGTAAATGGAGAAAAATGAAAAAAGAATTGAAATTATAATCATTTTGCTGCTTACGTTCCAAACTGTGAATCCTCTCACATACAAATTTTGGTAATTAATATATATATATATAATATCACTTGCCAAATACAAATTTTGGTAATTAATATATATATATATATATAATATCACTTGCCAAATACAGTAGAAAATTATAAATATATTTTTGTTTTAAAAGGACCGGTTGTGGGTTGAGGGATGTCTGGTCCAAAAAAGCCGTCACCGTATAAATAATTAATAAAATACATAAATTAAATTGCATTCTTTCAATATCAATTCCAATGGAATTAAGCTGTAGCAAATCTAAAAAAAAGCTCTGCTGCTACAAAATCGTCGACTCCAAACCGATACCTAAATGCCAAAGTCAAATATGATTCCTGAAACCCAAATGCCAATGCCAAATGGCTTACCATTGGCATGATGGGGGACAACCCCCTGCATCCTTCTGCAAAAAGGAGCAAAAAATCCGATTCCAACATGTATACAAGTAGATCAGATGCCCAATTTTCAAATCACATGAACAAGGAAGGTGAAAATGTTGCTGGTCTAGAGTTTCAAGAAGACGTATCAATGCGAAACCGCCACCGCGACGGCGAAAGGGTATGCCAGCAGCAGACACATCTTCACAACCAGTTGATATCAAAAGCCCTTTGGATGAAGTTGGTAGTTGACAAAAAAATACCGCCAAGGAAAAGGAGAACAAAGAGCGACATCGAAGGGATAAACTACGCATTGTAGAAGTGTTGTCAAAAAAGAAAGTCACGGTTCTAGAGGAGGAGCTACGGGTGATGAAGGAAAACGCTTTGACAAAGATTTACAATTTTTTCCTAAAGCCACATGACCATTTAATTTAACTGATTGCAGTTGAATGCGGTTCCGCTTGCAAGCAGCAAATTACACAAATTTATGTATTGGAGGCTTAGAAATATTTATATGTTTTATTTAGGATTTTAATTTTCTGTGTTTTTTAATAATATATTTTTTTAATTTTAGTCTTCTTTATTTATTTTGTAATTTCTCTATTTTTTTTTTATAAATTTTTTAATCAAAATTGAAAGGGTTGTAAGGGTTTAGAAAAAAGAGCTACTTGTGTAGATGGTAGAGAATGATTAAAAGAATAGGAGAGAGAAAAAAAACTAATGTGACGTCTATATGGCAAAGAAGGTTGGGAGGGTATGATACCCTCATTAGGGGTGTAATCGAGCTAAGTCGAGTTGAGTACTGCCAAGCTCGAAACACGACTAAAAAACTAGGGCCTGAAACTCGACTCAAACCTACATTTCAATTTTCAAACTTGGTCTTGAGTTGAGTAATGCCAAGCTCGAAAGTGTATTTTTCTCGTGATACCCCCACTAGGGTGTAATCGAGCTCGAAAATGTTGATTACTTTATCGAGCTCGAGCCCGAGTTTGAAATGTAACTCACTCGAAAAGTACTCGAAATCGAGCCCGGGTTTGAAATGTAACTAAGTCGAGTCAACTCGTGAGATCTTCGAGACCGACTCGAAAAATACTCGAAGCTCAAGCTCGATTAAGTTCACGAGCTTCACAAGCTTCACAAGCTGAGTATTTTAATGCTCAACCTTGAGCTCGACTCGACTTGAACCGAGTCGATTTCGAGTGTTTTTGGAGTCGGTTTCAAAGATCTTACGAGTTGGCTCGACTCAGTTACACCCCTAACCCATACCCTTACATATGTATTAAACTAAATATAAAAAAGTAACTATTTGATTTCTAATAATCGAAATAAGGACCTCTTTTTTTTTCTTTCAAAAACACTAATAATTATATCAAGAAAAATAATATCAAGTTGTATTTTTTATTAGGACATGATGTTGGCATTATTTATAAAAAAACGTTGGAGACTATCATTGTAACACCCGGAATCTTAAGCCTAATTCGAGTTGAACACGATGAGTTGGAGGAACCAACTCGACGTGTTTAGGATGGGAGACTTGCGGGGATTAAATGAACCAACACGACGAGTTGAGGTGCCTCAACTTGACGGGTTGGTGGCTGGGAAGGAACCCTAATTTTTAGGGTGTTGCACCCTATTTAAAGGCCTTAAGTTCCTTTGGTTGACCTCCTTATCAGCCTCCATTGTTGTCAAAACCCTAAAACGAGTTATAGCCTCCATTGTCAAGCATTTGAGCCTTGGAAGAAAGTTTGGTGGTCATTTTTGTGCATTGTGAAGGAGTTAGAATATCTTGAAGTCCTAAGCTTTGAAAAGGAAGTCTTGGATCCAGAATCATTATCCATTTAGCAAGGAGTTTGAGGTATCAAGTTCTTATCTTGATTGCTAGATGCTTAGATCTCTCTCTTTTGGGTTAAATTGTCATGTTTTAGCCATAGTTTGGATGGATGTTGGGATTAGGACGTCCCACAGCCTTATTCTTTCAGATATGGGGTTTTTATGGACTCTTTTGGCATAAAGGTGCCAACTTTATGGATTTAAGGGCTTCATGCATTCATTAAGTCCCTTATTAAGCCCTTCTTGAGCATTTAGGCTTCTCCTAGGCATGCATGAATGTAAAGTTGGCAACTTTACATGATTTTCCAGCTCTAGGTTGTCAGATCTGCATTTTAGGGTTTTGCCTTTGAAGATTAAGTTCTTAATGGTTAAGCCCTCACTCTTTTTAAGTCTAGGGTTTGGGTTTGGATCCATTTCGGTGGTTCCTAGGGGTAAAGTTGGAAACTTTACCCATCTAGATCTCAGTCTGGTCAAGATCTGAGCTTTGGAGCTCTTGGGTTTGATGAAGGTAGCTTAATGTATTAAGTTGTTGGGTCTGGGGCGAACTCGACGAGTTTGTTGGTCAACTCGGCGAGTTGGTTTGGTTTTCCCTGTTTCAAAGTTGATGGAGAAACACGACGAGTTGAAGAGCAACTCGGTGTGTTGGGTCAACATGGATTGTTGATCTTGACTTTCAACTGTTTTCCTTGACCAAGTTTGTCCTATAGGGGTACTTGAGGTAATCCGAATTGTAGCGAAGGAAATTATGGGCTTATGATAAGGCCCATATGGTCCAAATTGGGCCATTAGTGGGCCTTTATGGATCTTTTGGATTTGGGCCTCAGGTTTGATGCATGTTAGGTCAGGGGTAGAATGGTCATTTTACCCCAAGTATGGACAGTGGGCCTTAGAATGGAGCCCAATTGCTAATTGGGTGTTATTTTTGATCTGATAGGTCGGAGGTGTTGTTAGGGCAGCAACTAGGGATTTCTTTCAGTAAGCTACTGCATTCGAGGCGAGTCTTCTCACTATATCCATGGGTCGAAGGCACCAATGCCGACCCATTACGTGTTATGTGGTATGCTAGTTGTCTCTGTGATACTTGCATGGAAGACCCCGGGGGGAGCCCGTGGCATTTGGATATCAGACCATGGGGGAAATCCCATGGCATTCTAGGTAAAGACCATTGGGGGAGCCCATGGCATACTAGATAAAGACCATGGGGGAGCCCATGGCAACTATATGTATGTTGCATGTTAATCTGTGTTTGTATGTTGTATGGTATTTTGGGGAACTCACTAAGCTTTGTGCTTACGGTTATTCAGTTTATGTTTCAGGTACTTCGGTTTTCAAATGGAAGAGCTCGCGATGATTGTAGGGCACACACCACATGTTTCCATATTCTGGGAATTACTTTGGTTTGATGATGTTTTGCTAAATATTGGTTACTCTAGTTTTATGGAAACAGTCTGTATCAACGATTTATTAATCTAAAGAAAAAAAATTATGTCCTGATTTTTGGGATGTTACAAGTTGGTATCAGAGCCTTGGTTTGAGGGATTCAGACATACTCTCGGGTGTGTCCGAACTCAAACTGAGGATTGGTAAATTTTTCAAAAGAAAAATATTTTTAAGATAAGAGAAGGGTGTGGTGCATGCAATCAATCGAGCTCAAGTAAGTTTTCCCAGAATACTCATACATGTT